AGGAGTTGATTATAAATATCAACGAGAGGATGGTTCAAATGCTTTAATGTCGGCTTGTCAAAATGGTCACACTCAAATAGTTGAACTGTTACTGAAGGAAAAAGTTAATCTTAATGTTCAAGAGAAAGATGGTTGGAATGTTTTTATGTTGGCTTGTCAAAATGGTCAAGCTCAAATAGTTGAACTGTTGCTGAAGGAACAAGTTAATCTTAATGTTCAAGAGAAAGATGGTTGGAATGCTTTTATGTTGGCTTGTCAAAATGGTCACACTCAAATAGTTGAACTGTTGCTGAAGGAACAAGTTGATCCTATTGTTCAAGAGAAAGATGGTTGGAATGCTTTAATGTTGGCTTGTCAAAATGGTCACACTCAAATAGTTGAATTGTTGCTGAAGGAACAAGTTGATCCTAATGTTCAAAGGAATGATGGTGTTACTGCTTTAATGATAGCTAGTTTTAAAGGACATTATGAAATAGTTAAGTTATTATTAGAATGGAAAGCTGACCCAACTATTAAATCTAAAAAAGGTCACACTGCAATATCACTAGCCAAAACTGACGTAATAGCTGCAAAAGTTTATAATTACATGCATAAGAAAGGCAATACAAATTTAGAGGAAGATGCTGCTACTGTACAGTCTCACAGAACAGTATCCAGTGGATATCATACAGCATCAGATAGCAGTAGCATGAGAACTTATTCTTCTACACAAACTTTAGACTCAGTAAAAGAGAACTAGTCTCGTGTAGCCGGACCACACTCTCTGTAAGAGGACTCCAAAAATTAGACGTTTAAGTAATAGATGCTTAGTATATTAATTATACCTCATGTACTCTTGTTATATGTGTGTAGTGTATAGCACTTTTAATATTTTTGCTGCTCAAAATTCCAAACTGTCAATTTGCTAGCGTGGCATCTGTATAACTAGTGTCACTGATTGTCCAGTGATAATAAGTATAAGTGGAGAAGTACATGTCTATGTACAATTGCACATCCAGTGAATTGCGTACTAGCATTAGTGTATTATAATGGCTAGAAGGTACTGTACATAAACTACGTATTCCTTATCAAAATATCAAACGTTATACTTTTGAAGACAAGTTGTTGGCCTCCCCACACTTTAAGTAGGAAAGTACTAGGTACAATCTCTTCATGCTTGCCTGTTGTTAAACTATATAGTACTATGTTTACACTACAGAACTGGGCTAAACCGTGCTGAACCAGGCTGAGCTGGCCCTGCTGTACTAAACCATGCTGGCCTGGTTTGGTCCAGCTCACTTCAACTCAGTTTGGTTACTGTTTACACTATCAAATGATGATAGAGGATTGATGTACATACACTTTAGTATTTTTAGGTTTAATTTTTGCAAAATGCACAAAACACAATTCCCTCAAAATAAGAGCCACAGTATAAAGAAGTGGGTACATGTACATGTACACTTACTCGGCCAGTGAGTCCCTGTATCTCCAATTCTTCTCATTCTCAGTGTCCAGGATCCCGTTTAATATAGAGGGGAAGTTCTCCTTTCTAATGTCAGAGGGTAACACCTACATGTACATGTATATATATGATAAAAATAATGAAAAAATCAATATACGGTATTACATTTACAGAGATATACATGTACATGCATGTTATCACCTTCTTCGACTGAAGTAGGAGCAGGTGTATGACTTATGCCAGAAATACATTCCCAATCTGAGAAACTATTAATCAGCTCAAACTTTCTATACCCAACATAAGTACATGTATATACATCAGAAAATGTAATAAAAATGGAGAGTTCTCTCTTTCAAATTTGTACATGTTATTGGTTTATTATTATTTAATTGGGAAATTACATGTGCATGCATGTGATGCAATACATTTTGTACATGTACATGTATATGTACTCTCATCTCTCATTTACATGTACAGTACATGTACATTTCACAGCTACAAATGCAGTGTATGTACATGTACGTATGTACATGTACATACGTACATATCAGTGTACATGTACATGTACCTCAAAGAACTCCAATAGATGAGCCAGTACTCCAGTCTTCACATCATCAAGGTCCTTTGTAGCATACAACAACAATAATTAATAATATTTATGATGTTTCTTTACTTTTCTAACTGCCCAGACTTCATCTTTACACAACTGAATGAAATATGGTAACTAGAGAGAGAGAGAGAGAGAGAGAGAGAGAGAGAGAGAAAGAGAGAGAGAGAGAGAGAGAGAGAGAGAGAGAGAGAGAGAGAGAGAGAGAGAGAGAGAGAGAGAGAGAGAGGGAGAAACAGAGACAAAGAGACAGAGAGAGAGTAAAAGGAATGACAATAGATACATGCGTACATGTACATGTAGATAATAGTTACTGCATGAATGTACAACATAAAATGTTGGCATGATTTTTGCTTGGGGATTTCTCCAATTGGCAGCTGTACAGTAGATTGTATGGAGAAAAAAAACATATTTTATTTTATACATGGACTGTACTACTCATGTACAAACCAAATATACTTGTACATATAAACTCTATAAAATATACTCACAATAACTTCCTCAGTAGATGTTGGCCCTATTACTGAACACAAGTCGTTACAGCATATAGCAAAGGACTAAAATATACAGAGGTAGTATCCAAGAGTATACTGAGATGCACAAACGCTACCTTTCTCACGTGAAACATGGCATCAGATGCTAAAGCTGGTAACTGTAGAACAAACTCAGATACACAAGCCTCTTGACCAAGAACCACTCGACCAATTAGCTATAAAATAAAGACACACCCACTTGGTGACCACACCATGCAATTAATTATATATCGTACATGTGCATATACATGTAGAAGAATGTAAAACATTAACTAGTTCCAACCTCCCACCACGCCCAGACATACATGTACATGTACATGATACAGACCAAAAGGACTTTAATATACTACAATTGGGGCCACTCTAGTTTTGCATGAGGTACATGTACTGTACGTGTACACACAAAAACATATGTACATGTACTTCTATACAATACATGTACATACATGTATAATAAGGAACTAACTTATATTGGCCTGGTGCCACTGAGCATGATCAGAGTAAACTAAAATGGCAGATACTATAATTTCATATTGGCAGTAACTTGAAACACTGCCAATACTTCCAGCAGTGCAGTAAAGGGAAGACAGGCTTTTAAATGCAGCACAAATGTCTGGATGAAGTTTTGAAAGTCAATAAATTAACATTATTGACTGCTATGAATAATGAATACGGTATCTATTCAATTATTTGCGTGGGTGAATACCGTAAATCCATACTCATATTGCAATTGCATGGATCCAACACAAAAATGACAAAATCTCTAACTGGAAAGAAATAGATGATGAAATCGA